AAAAAAAAAATCATTGAATTCTTGATTTAACCTCTTTATTCTGCACAGAATTTAACTGATTCAAAGATGTTTGGAGCATTTTTAGGTCCTGTTTTATATTCAAATAAGGGGCAACACATTAATTTTTTTTAACAAATAAAGCAAAACAAGYCGGTCTTATTTTTTCTTTTGTTTTCCCCCCAACACGCTTCTCAACCTCGTCTGCAGAATCTCCCTCTGACTGTTTACGTTGGTTTTAAACTGAAGCGATGTTTCAGGCTTGAACTGCTCCAGTGGTGAGACGGTTCAGAGTTGCAGAGCTTACAGGGAACTTTACTTCTTTCCAGCCCACCGTTGGGAAACATTTTAAAATAAAAAGTGCCCTGAAGAATCTGGTGACTTCTGCCATGTTTCTGCCGTGGCTGTGGTTGGGTTCATAAGAGCCACTTGCTGGGCCAAATGGTAAATACCCACTGRCCAAATGTGGCCTGCAGGCCTTGAGTTTGACWTACGTTATAGTRTAAAGAGAAGGGAGACTCTTGGACACACACAGGTGCTTATTTTAGCCATTTATATATTTATTGAATTAAATGTGAGAAATATTAGATTTTTAAAAATATTCCTTAATTTAAGGCTTTCCATTACTTTCATCCAAAAGTTGTTTATTTGCTCCAACTTTGACTTTGTGAAAGTGGTGAAAAATAGCTGACTCAGGCTTGTAGTCAGATTTTCTTTGCATAATTGCACCAGAATAAACAAAATGTCCTATTTGAAGTATAAAATGCTTCTTTGTGGTTTTCCTCACAGACTGACTCTCCGGAGGACATGCGTGGTTGGATCAGGGACATTGAGATGAAGATCCAGGAATTTCGAGGACCCCCAAGGGTAACTCTGTTCTTCTTCTTCGTGTTAGTTTTTCCCTTCCTTGTGTCCACGTGTCATAAAGTGGAAATCTTTGGTTTGGTTTTAAAACTCCGCCGCTTTTATCTTTCTAGTGTGCCGTGTTCAAACGCGGCTCGTCTCTCTATCAAACTCAAAACACCTCTGGCGCGCCTCGTGCTCAAAGCGTCAGGGAGCGGAGACCCCAGCTGGTGAAGTCCTGCTCCGTGGCGCCGGGTTGGCAGCCCTGGACGCCTGTTCCCTCGTGCGAGTCGTCCTCCGTGCTGCTGGACACGGAGGATGACGACAGCGCGTTCAGCTCGGTGACCACTCTCCCCTCCCTGTCGTCCTCCTCCACCTCCTCCTCCACGTCTTCCTCGTCCAACTCCCTCTCCGCCCCGGCGACTTGCCCCGGCGCATCTCAGGTGCCTGGCGGCAGCGGGCTGGGGCTCCTCACGGCGTCGGCGGATGTGGCCAGCGGGCGGAGGCGGCGGCACTGCTCGCAGCCTCAGCCTCCCACCGGCTGCAGCTTCCCCTTCAGCCTGGACGACGACGGCCTCCGCACGTCGGACGTGTAGCTCAGAGCGTCGGTACCTGTTGTTGTTGTTGTTGTTGATGRTGATGATGATGAATGTGACTGGTACTGATGCTGTTCCCTGCCAATGAAGAGACTCTTGGAGCCCCCTGCTGGCCATGTAGCTGCTGTGCAGATGAAGGACGCAGCTGGAAGGAGGTGGACAAGGCTCGGTGTTTGTAGGACTGTGAAACGTTAGGATGGAGAGACTTCCTTTTGAAAACTTGAAAATTGTAATTTTGTAGAGTTGAAACTGATGGCACATGCTTTCAGCCTTTTGCACTTGACTCTTGTATCAGATTGGTTTCATCATCAGCTGCAACTTCCTGGTAGAAATCTTCTCAGCCGAGCATCTAAAGGCATTTTAACCATTGTTATCCATCTTCTTTAGGAACTTTTGAGTATGTATTTGAAATATATTTCACACTTGTTAGTTTCTGTTAGACCACACAGTGTTTCACTCATTCTCTTTATCAAAACGCACATTTTAAAGGAAAAAAAATCATCATTTACCTGTTAAGCATTGTATTCCTAACACCTGCAGTCTGTTGGCTCCATGGGGCCTTTTTATTACTTGGAGTTCAATAAAAACTGTGGTTTATTTTAAGGTTTTAGCTCAATACCAAGATAATGTTGCTGTGGTACAGATATAGTTGTAAAACATGCAAAGAAGCTCATTATGTGGTAAACTGCTTTTAGAAATGTGATTATCTCATTGCAGCATTATGTGGGAATTTTTGCCACTACTTTTGGTGTAATTCTGAACTTTGCATTTCATATTTTTACACTTATTTTTACTAGTTTTTATTTGAACGTTGCAGCAGATTACAGCTTTCTCACACATCTCACGCCACTGCTGCAGTTTCTTTCTTTTCCGTTCGCACTCGGTTGTAATTGTCCCACTCTTGTGCATTAAAACAATGCTTTGTATTTGATCTCGTTTTTGCTCTTTCTGATCAGCTCCAAAGCTTTTTTCCGATCACACGTCTCACACGCTGACATCTGGTGGCGCTCGAGTCCGGTTCCTTCTAAGAAACGGAGACCTTTAGGTGTTTCTGTCCCTATGAGGCAAAAAATAAGCAAACATTCAAAAGCTAACAGCAGGTTTGACCTTTGACCCTGTCACCTTAAACGCATGCTCCCCAAGAAAACTCAAGCATGAACTCATATGCCAGTCCCGTCACCAGAGGGTGTGTCAAGTGAAGTCTTTCACACGTCCGGCGCAAAGTCCATCAGGTAAAACGCCGAAAACTCTGTCGGCTTCAGCCGTCTGTCTTTAAATGCAGCTGCGGGGCAGTAAAATGTCTCCGTTGAACAGTTTAAAATTGTGTTCGGAGGTAGAAGAAAAGGCCCCGAGCGCTCATGAAATGTCAGCTGTGTAGAAATGGGTTTTCACTTTAGAAAGATTCCCTGCAGGAGCTGAGAGAAAACAAAGCAGAAACAAAGACAAGGGAAGTTTGAGGATTTAAAATAAAAAGTTAAACTAGATGTTGATTGGGGTTTAAGTTGACTTTAAGTCACTTTGTTCAACAACAACTAAACTATAGGCTGTCGTTCCTGAGCATGATGGAGGAAGGAAACATGGCGTCACACTGGAAGCCTTGGAGGTGTAACTCTTGTCCCTGCTTGCACAAAGATCAGCTAAATGTCAYGCAGCACTTCGGCGTGACGCCTGTGAGTGACAGCCATCTCTGAGGGCAGAGAGACGCTGCTGGTCTAAATGTTAATGTTCCCACATGGATGAGTCCACCTCGGTCTGAAGCTTTTAAATGTTAGAAACTCCTTTGCTCTCATGCTTTTGTTTTCACTCTGACCGAAGACGAACATGCAGAGAGCAACGTTTATGCATTTGTATGTGTCTGTAGTGTTGGTAAGATATCTCATCAACCAGAGGTTGGATTTGAATGAAACATTCAGGAAATTTGGCGTACATCTACATCTGATTGGCTTTAAGAGTCAACCAAATTCAAGATGGCTGCTACAGCCATGTGTTATAAAACACACATCATGTGTGTGGCTGAGAGTAATCCCCAACATTTACTCTTGAGGAATGACTGATAGGGCCAAATATGCTTTTGGCATATTTGAAGTCAACTGTTTGTCTGTTAGCAAAATTTCTCGTAGATAAATGGGCAGATTTTATTAGAAGAGTTAATAGTTTTGTGTAAAACTTAGTTTTTGCCATTGACAATGTCAGTCTGTTAGTAAAATGTCTCATGTATATATAGCGGGTAAAATAAGTATTGAAC